CCAGAAGCCGCCCTCCGGACAGCCTGAGATACGGCCTTTCCTATCAATAGACTCTTTGACCACCCCAAGCATCCAGTCCAGCTTGTTGCCCACCTCCACCTCCCAGGCGTGGCGACCTGAAGTAAAGCCGTCTGAGCCCAGCACAAACACAAAATGACCAAAACGCTCGGGGTTGTCCGGGAGCTGCTGCAGAGACCCACTGTTGGCTACACTGGTGAGGTCTGGCGAGAGGGTCAGCCAGGAGTACGCAGTGTTTGGGTCCAGGGTGATGGGAGCTAAAGGGAGAAGAAAACACACAAACCAGGAAAATGAGAGAGCAGAGCAGGTCCCAGCTCAGCCACACACTCCTCAGTGTTCTGTACACTGTACTGTAGTGAGTTTCTGTGCAGCATCCGCTTACTGTACTGAACCAGCTCTGCCATCTTCTCCCACACGTGGTACCTGAGGGAACTCACGTGCTTGGCCACATTTATAAGAGCTCCTGATGCCTTTTCTGGATCTTTCTGAGGAATCTGCAGTCTGTGAGACATTCATACAAGAATTAATCAGGATGGACGCACTTTAAGATGATCTGATCATTCAGAACATTTCAACATCCTACCTTTTCTTTGTGCTGGCATAGTTCTGGAACAAGACAGAAAGGTACAATAAGTGGTAAACATTGTTTTGTTTTAAAAAATAAATAAAAATAAATAAGCACCAGAAGAAAAAGAGCATCACTGGAGGAAATCTCATTCTCGATGGCGATGACTGCGTGAGAGAGGGAGAGGATGTCCCTGGTAATGAGGTCGGCCTTCTTCTTAACCAGCTCCTTCTTCTCCTCGTCCTCCTGCTGAAGGGCAGCCAGCCGAGCTGCCTCCTCCCGGTCCAGGAACTCCCGAAGCTGCTCAAACTCCTGCATGATCTGCTTCTCTGTGGCATGTGTCTGGGTCTACCACAAGTGGAGACACCGATCATTAAAGTTAGTCCTGGCTTGTGGAAGCGGGACGTTTACAGAAACATTCAGAAATCAGTCGGGTGTGCACCAACTCTAAAGGCTACAGAATCAATCCAAAGTGTGGTTAAAAATAAAAGACGTGTTTAGACAACATGCGGCTCATCTTTGTGTCACAGTTCCATGAGCTGTAATGCAGGTGCTCTTGGATTTGTTTGTTGATACCTTGATGTGGACCATTGTGTCCTCACACTCCTGCTTGGCTTCATACAGGCGACGCAGGTTCTTCTTTAAAGGAATCAGGTCCTTCTTCAGCTCATTCTGAGGAGGAATATCGGAGAACATGCACGCATGGTTGTAATCTGTTAGTGAAATCTCAGAGGGCTAATCTAGGTCACTCCACTTGGCACCACCCAGCTTTCTGTCAGGTCACGAGGACAGTTGGTTTGATCACTATCAGTAGGCGCATTAAACACACATCTTTCCACTATAGATTAATAACTGACTTACAGCCTCTTTGTCACATGTCCTTACTGATCCAATAGGATGCTTTCAAATCACCAAGTGGCTGGGGTCCAGTATGGAGTTAATAAAATGATGTCATCGACGCAGACTTTACTTTTTGAATGTTATTCAAACTGCAGATTCCAGGCCTGTCTTCTTTGTTTTTGCTATAAACTTGAAATGGAGCTACAGACTCAGAGTCATTATTGAAGCATAATCTGTAATAAAGTTAAAGCGCAAGTCACCCCAAATCAACATTTTTTTTGCTGATAAACTATATAAATGAGTGTCTGATTGTGCTGTAGACAAATGCAGTCAATAATTCGGCACTTTAGTGCATCTTAGGTTAAATTTAAATATTCTGCCTAAAACTGTCAGTGTTGCACCCTCTTCAGGTAAAAACTCTGCAATGCACTTGAATTTAAATCTGCCATCGCTATTGGCTAAGAGGTACACGATGATGTTAGCTGGTACGTTATGATGTCACAATGATGTGTGTGTATTTGTTAGCGGCTCTGCCCTCTCGTTCTGCTAAGCAACAGCATTTGTTGCATTTTTCAAACAGGAAGTGGGAGTTGAGTAAGAATCTCGTAGGGGGTGACTTGCTCTTTAAAGTAACCGCTATGCTTCCAGACATCCCTCCCATAGACAAAAAGATCCGGGATCTGTGGTCTTCCCGGACAGCTATTGGTGACGGACCAGACCCAGCGGATCCAAACTACTAATCAACATTATTAATTCAATGTTTCCTGTTTTGTCTTTTAAAAATTGGATCAATAACTCAATGATATCCATGAATGAGGCTGGGTTACCTTGAGGTCCTCAGCTCCTTCATCCAGAGGACACATTTTATGTCCCTGATGCTTCTTGGAAGTGTGACACACGAGGCACAGAGCTTCAAAGTCATTCATACAGAAGAGCTTGAGAACTTCTCCATGGCTGAAACACTTCTCCTCCACCACCACCGCTGCCCCCTCACCTGTCCTGCTGGGCCCTGGCCCTGACCCTGGTCCCAGCCCTGGCCCCGCTGCATTGGTTTTCCGCTCCTGCTCCCTCAGAAATGTGTCAGCCACATTCTTTAGAGCGAGACTGACCGTGGGCTCTGTCAGCGAGCACTTCCTCCTGCAGATCGGACACTCACGTCTGGCCTTCTTCTTGTTCCAGAACTGCTGCAAGCAGGCCCGGCAGAAGCTGTGGCTGCATTTGAGCACCACCGGCTCCTTGAAGATCTCGCAGCAGACGGGACAAGACAGCTCGTCTTCCAGCATGGAGCCTGAGCATGAGGAAACAGCCCGAGGTCGGAGGGAGGAGGTGGACTTTGAGATCTGGAGGAAGGAGTTTTTTCCTGGCTGAGAGGACGCTCGGGGCCGCAGAGCCATAATGTGTTCCTGCAGAGTGGAGCTGCTCCAAGGAGGTGGCTCTACACAGTCCAGAGAGTAATCTGGGCACACGTTTTACAGCAGCCTGAGTTATAGATCTGGACTGGTAGAACTGGTTTACTTCACTTCTAGTAAATAAAGAACGTGTCACCACCTCTCAAGCATCAGTGTCCTGTAGGAAAAAATGTACACTCCCACAACATGTGAAGTCTGCAAACTTCACCAAACAGCCGTTTTCCCCCCTCAGCAAAACTTGTTAAGAGCCACAAATGTTACAGGCCCTTTTGAAAAGATACAATTGATCCTTTGTTCATGAATATCTATGGAAGATAATTAGGGCCACTGGAAAAAATGTCTATTTTTTCTCAGGTTGATGAGAACAATGTGAGAATTCTGACCAAAAAGTCAGAATTTTGCTCTTTTTCTCTCTTTTTTCCTCTCTCCTATTGAGACTACAATGAGACTAAAAGGTTTTTGGCAGCCACTGATTGTGCAAGGTAATCCAATCCAGGAAATCACATTTCATTATTTTTAACACGAGAATGGCGTCAATACCGTCACCAAATGCCTTGAGCACTCATTTTGACTGCTTCATTTAACAGTCAATAAATTCACCTCTGTCAGTTTATAGCACAGATGATATTAATTTTATGTAGCTAAAGAAGGTTTTTAACCAAAATAACATCCAAAATAGACTTAGGTTTTAATTTAACACACAATATTTAATCATTCAATTAATTTATTCAAACTTCCATCCATGCATCCATCCATTCTCTTCTGCTTATCCAGGGTCAAGTCACAAGGGCAACAGCTTCAGCAGAGAGGCCTAGACTTCCCTCTCTCCAGCCATTTGGGCCACCTCTTCCGGGGAATCTAAGGTGTTCCCAGGCCACCCGAGTGACATATGAAACTTACACCCATACGGTACCGGAATTTGTTTTCACACACAGGTCCGATTTGCGTTTTTGGTGCCAAGGAGACTCTTTTTCTCAGACCTTCTCCCCAGTGGTCAGACTGGGACCGAGGCGACACTACGGACTGATTGGCCGGCTGAAATTACACCTACTGCCTCTGATTGGATTTAGAGGAGCTGATTCTCATCCCAGCTGCTTCACACTTGGCTGCAACCTGCTCCAGTGAAAGGTGGAGATCATGTTCTGATGAAGCCAACAGGAACACATCATCTGCAAAAAGCAGACTTGATCCCTAGACCACCAAAACAGATCCCCCCAACAACTTGGCTGCACCTAAAAATCCTGTCCATAAAAGTTATGAACAGAATCGTTGACAATGGGCAGCCTTGGCGGAGTCCAATTCTCACCAGAAAAGAACCCGTCTTCCTGCCGGCAATGCGCCAACCTGACACGGGTCATGCAGGAACCAATCCGTGTCAAGAGGCCTGGTACCCCAGACTCTCTAGGGAACCCCTACAGGTCTGTGACCTTCATCATCCTCTCCTTGTTCTGCTCTCCCTACCTATTCCACCTTCCTCAGGATCCACTGATTCCCCTCTTTCCTGTTCACTCTCTCTCTTTCTTTACATTTTTAATCACACTTGTCTATTTTTTGCTCATTTAAAATATATTTAAATGGGGGGGGGGGACTAGTATTCCCACCCCTGCTAGGCACCTCTCAGTGGAACCAACTCCAGAGTGGTAGAAAGTCCAACCCCTCTCAAGGAAACTGGTTCCGAAGCCAGAGCCATGCATCAAGGAAAGTTTAACTCAAGCCCCCGTAATCCTGGAATGAACATGAAGCCAACAAGGCAGTGGCAAAACCTGCAGTTCCACCCTCATCCGCTAGGGTCTGGTACCAGAAGTGAGCCAATCCTCATTGACTCTCATATTAAAAATGACTATTTCACAGCAGAAAGAAACATTTTTACAGCCTGGTTCAAAAAAAATTTTTTAGGTTTAATAGATCTAATTTGCATTCATGACAACTCTGAGGGGGTGGGTTTTTTTTTATTTTCCCGGGCAGCCAGGACGCGTGGACCACTCCAATGCGAGGTTGTAGTCATGCTGGTCATTTGTGGATCTCTGAGTGAAACCAAACACCACAGCTCTTTTAATTGATGCTGCTTCACTTTTGAGTTGCTCAACCGCATTTTTCTAGCGAGTAGTTGGCTGATTGAATGGAGGAAAGATCTACGCATTTACTGTAACATTCCTTGGTCTAAGATGGATTGAAATATAATGTATTGGTGTGGCTGCTGGTTAAAAAAACTGCTCTGCCGTGGTCAACGATCCGCGAGTCCGACTGTCCCGTCGTACCTCGACAGCTCTCAGCTCCGTGTTGGCACAGCACCGGTAGCCGAGTCGACACTCCTGTCTTTGGCCGGGAGAGCGACACAGATCCGGGAGTCGAGTTGTCGCTCCCAGAGACAGGATTGTCAATAACGACAGACTCACAGAACTTTAACCGCCGTGGACCAGCAAAGCCCGATATCTTCAGTCAGCATACCTAGTCATGATTTTGCCACTAACAGGCCGGAGGTGCCTTCACTTCAGAGTTGCTCTGCCACGTTTTTCTTGCTAAAAACGCCCATGATAGCACATAGCTAATGTCCCGCTGATCTCCAACCGTAGAGCATGAGCTACTGTAAAAGGACACGGCGCCCAGCTATGATCGCAGCGGTCCGAGGCTCTGCTAGTAATTTAACAGTCCCAGTCTATAATAGATCTCCACAGGTGACCAGCACGACTACAGCCTCGCACGGAAACCAGTCGACCTTTCAGGTGGACTACCCCGGTCCCCGGAGCCCCCTCTTAGCTTCTTAGGTTAGCTAAGTTAGCGAGTAGCTACGTTGGTTCATTTGTTCCATCTGTAACAGCCCCACCCTCAGCTCCACCTCTTTTCCCATTTTTGGATTGTCTAGGCGTGATGAGACGTAAGACATGGTCAAAATTGCGGTGGTGGAAACCTCCCATTATGGAACAAAAACTTATAATGTGAGACTATCGACATTAATTGTCCATGGGGAGGGGGACCCACATCTCCTCATCGGCCTTTGCCTGGCCAGGCTCCATGGGTGAAAGCCCTGCCACCAGGCGCTCGCCACCTAGCCCCACCTCCAGGCCTGGTTCCAGAGGGGGGGCCCAGTGACCCACATCCCGGCGAGGGAACACGGTTTCCATTTATGTTGCTCATCATAAGGGGTCTCTTCCCATTTGAAGCCTTCATCATGGGCTGTCATCTGTTGGAGCGACAGCCCATGATAAAGGCTTCAAGCTGTAAGCTGAAACTGTCGGCAGGTAAAGAAATCCACCTACTGCATATTTCACCTATAGTACCCAATAGAGCATTCTTTATTATATTCGCAGAGGCATAACGAACTTTATAACTATGAGAAAATACCAAACACACTCCGGAGCTGGACACTGTTTGTACAAGCTGCCAGTAACAGTTTATGTATAAAAGGAGAAAAAACACTTGATGTGACCATCTGAAAAGTATTTGCCACCATGGTAAAGCAGTGCAGGGAAAACACTAATAAATACGCTTAAAACCACATCTTACCTTTAGTTTATCTACTTGCATCATTACTGGAGTAACAGCTTTGATTTTTGATGGTATGATGTAAATTCCTTTCATGTTTACACATCCTGCACATTATACAGATTTGTTTACTCTATTAGTAATGAGACTCAATTTCTGTCAATGTGTATTTTGCATTTTCCAATAATTATTGTTTATAAAACTATTATAAATATAGTCTTTTATTCATCAGAAGTATGAAATGTGAATTTTTTTCATATTTCTTTACAGTTTCAAGTGGGTGTAGTTAATGTGGCATGGTGGAGAAACGAGGGCCCGGGCGGGATTCGATCCCCAGGCTCCCGGGTGACTGAGAGTCACGCGCACTTACCAGTCAGCCAAAAGACCAATCCCCTTGGCCAAGGGCCAGGGCGCATGATCAATCAGGATACAGTGACAGGACGCTCACACTGTCACATTAACATTCCCTTTACGGATGTTAAAAATTTTTGAATCAAAAGAAATTTATCGATTTTAATCAACTAAAGTTAAACTAAAACATAAAAAATCGGACGACTAAATCGTGACTAAAACTAAAAAGAGCAACGTGTTCCTCCGGTGTCCGTGAGGGCACGCAGTGGTTGGGTAGTGTTCGTTACAGCAGCGGGTGGGGGTTGAGCAGATGGGCTTTGCCGACTTCCGGGGAGGTTCGTTACCTAGAAGACAAGAAGAACGGCTCTCTACAGGGCTTTCATCGTTCACTTAGAAAACCTGTTCAAAAGATTTGACTCGTTCGTGAACGTCACATCGCTAGTCAAATGCAGAAGTGCATTTCACCAGTGTGTGATGAATTAATGAGACTTTCACTTCATACCAAAGAGTTTTATTTTGGTCTCATCTGAATATGTAATCCTTAAAATCTACCTCTGGATCAGCCAGAGGGTCTCTGGCAAACTGTGAATGGGTCTGGATATGTTCTGGCTTGAGCAGGGGGACGTTTTGAGTGCTGCAGGATCCATGATGACATAGTGGTAACCTTTGCTACTGTGGTCCCAGCTCCTTCTGTATATTTCTGGGCTATTTCCACACCGCTCCCAAGATCATTTGTATCCCATGAGGTGAGATCTTGTAAAAGCCCCAGGTCAATGGGAGATTTTGAGTGATCTTGTCTTTATTCCATTTTCTAATAATTGCTCCACATCTCTTCTCACCACGCTGCCTGTCTATTGTAGGGTTAGGGTGTTGTCTCTGATGTCCTTAAAGTGACAGTGTGTATTTTCTCTGGTGATAGGGGGCAGTAGATACCTAAATCATTGCAAGCAAGCATTATTTTTGTGTTGGAGTAAGACCTTACCAACGGATGCCCATTAGGGTCAGAAAGCCATGGGGAGTACAAACTTCAGCACAATGACAAGCACATCAGACGCTTTCATCACTGGCAACAAGTGAAGAGGTAAATGTGTAAACGTTTGTTACAAATCAGTAAATGCATTTTGTCCTCAAGGGCTCCCGTAGCAGGAAACATGGCGTCGCCCAGAGACCCACTGACATTTATTATAGACCTGATTTTTATGGTTATATGTTATGAAGCTGCCGATATTTTTCAATAACTGGACATCATTTCATTCATTTTCAACAAACATATCGAAGGACGTTCCCAGAGATTAATGGTAAAACCTACACATTGTCTCTTTAAGCATCATTTAAACAGAATGTGGAGTGGACGAGAGTGGCTACTGTAAAGACCAACGACCACTGAGTCCAGCCAAAGCATTTACACCTGGACAACCATGGAGTTGAAGAGCCAGACAGGAAGTGAGATGTGTGGCAGAGAGGTTAATTTAGTTAAATTCAAAATAAAAGCTTATTCTGTCTGGCTTGTTAACAGTGTACGACAGCACGAAAGGACGAGTGTGGCGTTTGTTTACCAGCTCCTCTCTGCACATGTAGGTTTTATCACATGAACTCACGAGCAATAGTTGTGGAGACATTCCACACACAATCCTCAGTTGGTGTAAATAACGGTCCTTAGGGAATCCGGTCCACATCAGTTTCCCACTTGGTGTAAATTAGGCTACAGTGTAGCTCATCACCACCACCGGTGTGTATGGATGAATGATTCGTTGCAGTATAAAGCCATTTAGAGTCCTCTGACTCACAAAGGCAGTGTACAAGTGCAGCTAATTTATTATTTATGAGGAAAGGAGTGGAGGATAGAACTGCTTCTGTTACAGGTCTGAAGGCCAGAATAGATTTTATTTTCTATGGAATGTTGGTATTTTTGGAAAATTGTACCTAAAATCAATTTCAAAATTAAATCTATGTAAAAATATGAGTAGCTTTAGTGTCAATTTGTTCTGGAAATTCAAAGCAATCATCCCATAAAAACACAGAAAAGCCATTTAAACCATTCGCATTTTTAGAATATGTTTTTAAACATGAGTTATCCAGTTGTAGCCACCGTGGAAAGTCCTAAGACCCACTTGTGGCTCCAGAGCCACAGATTACAGACCCCGATCTAGAGTGTAGTGCTGTTGAATTATTCAGCTTAAGAAAAGATGTTTTAATATAAATATGCACAGATAGAATTAAGTTTTATTTGAGTTATTGTTCCTTCAGTTTTCTGATCAAGGCCTGTAAATGACCCCGGTGAGTTCGACCAGCGATATCAGGTTAACAGATCTGATTACAGCACCTGAGAGGCTGCTGGCCGTGATTTCACTGTCTAGTTAAATGCCATCTATATTTCAGGACACAAGAGTGAGAAAACAAACCAACACCTCAGGAGATGCTTTCTGTGACCGGTCCGGTTTCTGGTAGAATTACACAAACATCAGAAACAGCAAAGTTTCAGAAAATCTGATTTAAACAAACAGAAGGACCAATGCTCTGTGGAGGTCATCACTTCATCATATTTAAACATCTACATCAGTGTAATACAAAGCCATCAAAATAATCGTATTCTTCTTTAGGTGTTACAGTGTTTGAGCATCAGTTAATTACATCACCAATTAAGATTTTCAATAACTCAAAGGAATTAAACTAAACTGCTTCAGACATGTCCTGATAAGTTTAACACCAACGGGTTTTTAAACATGTTTACCTAAACTCAGAAGATGGCGCAACAATAACATTTGTTTTTGCATTTCATGATCAAAACTAAATGTATGATGAAAATCATCTCGTTTGTCTCAACATCAAACAAAAGCAGAATTTAGGATAGAAGAGGGATTTTCTAGCCCTAAGTGAAATTTGGTCTTTTGTCACGTCCCCCAGAAACAGATAAGTGAGAAAAAGCATTTTGCAACCAACCCAGTCGTTGTCCTAATCTAGCAGTGTTACATTAGCTTTAGCCTAGCTAAGCATAAATAATGTAAGTAAATGGTAACAGCTAGCATTTAGCGTGAAAAAGTCATGAAAATTACTCGGGAATAATCCTAATTTTTCTTGGTGACCTCAATAATCACATTGATTGCAAATAAAAGTAATAAGTAACACGAAGGAATTACAGGAGCTGGTTTAGACTTGGGACTATGTTACGACAAAGCACAGCTGTAAGCCGCCGCTGCAAGGCTCAAGGACATGACGCATCGGCCCCAAAACTCTGTTTACTGTTTTTATGGTGAAATGTTGTAAATCAGTAAAGGCTGAGTTTTGGGGCCGATGAGTCATGTCCTTGAGCCTTGCAGTGGCGGCTTACAGCTGTGCTTTGTCGTAACATAGTCCCAAGTCTAAACCAGCTCCTGTAACTCTTTCGTGTTACTTATTACTTTTATTTGCAATCAATGGGATTATTGAGGTCACCAAGAAAAATTAGGATTATTCCCGAGTAATTTTCATGACTTTTTCACACTAAATGCTAGCTGTTACCATTCACTTACATAGTTTATGCTAAGCTAAAGCTAACTGAATACTGCCAGATCAGGAGAATGACTGGGCTTTTCCACACTTACGCAACTCTGGAGAATATTGCAACTGACCAAATGTCACTTAAGATGAACTATCCATTTAACACAAATAAAGAGGAAAGGAAAACGTTTATCCTTTTAGTTTCCATGACGACACCAACGAACTCCAGTAATACTGCTCTCTGTAGTAAGGTTGCGCACATTTTGTTTAAAAATAGACGTCACATCACATTATGTAACAAATAAAAATAAACCCACAGTTCACAACCTGCTGACCTTCAGGAACACCAAGTTAACACTGATTTTTTAAACACTGCAAAAACAAAGAAAAAGAACCCAACAAAAGTCCGGAAGGTGCTGCTGTCTGCTCCGTTAGCGTCATTACAGCAACAGGTGAGTCAACAGAGAACGATCACTGAGCTGCGCTCCACGACGGCCCCTCCTCGGCCAAATCCTCCAAAAGTAAACTGCAAATGTCATTTTGAAGATAATTAAAAATAAAACTAACCACACATGCATGTTGAACTGAGCCACAACAGTAACAGCTGCTTCGGGATAGTGCAGCGCCCGAGGGGGGGCTTGTAGTGCAGTTTTATTCACCTATGTCATTGATTTACACAACGGTGCAACACATTTATTCTACTTCTGCTTTCTTGCATTTGAGTAAATGTGTGCCATTGGTTTGCTGCCAGCAAAAACATGCAGGTTTGTTGATTACATCAAAATTCTCAGTGTTCCAGGTTTTCTGGAAAGGAAAAAGAAAAGTTGGAAGACAAATAAAAGAACTTGGGAAGTCATTGCAGTCACATTCCTTTTTGAAAACCCGGATCAGCAGCTTTGTCTTCCCAAAGCGAAGAAATGCAAAAATAAGGACGAGGAGTGTAAAATGGAGTAAAACCAACTCCTGATGGTAGTGTTGTGTTTTCTAGTGTTGAATGTTGTGAGTGTAAAGTCCATAAAGGATCGCTCTGCTCCATTAGTCTCCGTGGTCACACCCGTCCAACCTTAGCATCTCCGATGGCGCCCCAGACGTCAAAGACAAACTCGTCTGGGAAGGCAAAATCCCCCAAAGTCTCATCTAAAGCTTCAGCAAACTCATCTGGGTTCTTCTTGTCTTTTCCCAGCTCCACCATGGTGGCCGCTGAGGAGACGGAGAGGAAGTTTAACAAACTCAAACCCTAAAATGTCAAACACAGTCGAGAAGAGCACGCTAACTTACCCAGCTCACTGTCTCTGATGCCCATGTAGCTCTCCAGCAGATCATCCACCTTCTCGATGGCTTTTTCCTCAAATGCAGAAGGCTGAAAAATAAAATGAATCATGCTTGCTCATAAGTAAACAGCTGTGCATTACAAACAGCCCCCCCGTACCCAGCCTCCAGTCTGCTCACCAGTTCCTCCACCGTGGCGGGACCTTTAGAGCGCAGGCGAAGGGTCCCTCTGCCGGTCCCCAGCTGAACCCCGGATGCCGACCTGGAACCTCCAGCTCTCTGACTGATCATGTCTACACAAAAACACCAAGCGTGTTTAGTGTAATCCTGTCATTCATCAAAGTCTAAAAATAAAACCCCTCAGCTGGATCAAGGTTGGCCGTAGCTCAGAATCAGATGCAATGTAGCAGACTTACCAAAGGCTTTGAGAGGCTCCACCAGCTTGATGGTGAACATTTTCCCTTTAGGAAGCTCCTTCAGCATTTTGGCGACTTCATAGTGTCGACAGCCAATGAGCCGATGGCCGTTGATGGACTCGATCATGTCACCCACATTAATGACCTGGATTTGGTGAATGACGCTCCCCTCACGGATTCTCTACAAGCAGCAGAAACCATGGAACTTATTCGGTATAAAAGCAGGTGCATGAACATTTAAGTCCAATAAACACACACCAGAATCCTTATGATCCCTCTGAATATTTGACCTTCCTAACCTTGATAAAAGCATAGCCAGCTCCATTATCAGTGATCGTCAGCCCCAGAGCATCTTCTCCTTTGTACACTTCTATTTCCTTCTTCTGGCCTTTAATGTGGGCAAAAATGAAGTCCTCCAGCCCTATTTGACCTCCCAACAGCTTATCCATGTCCACCTTGTGAGTGTTTAGTGTGCAAAACATAACCTGTAGGGAAAATATACAACTATTACAATTAAACTCAAGAAAACTCCAGATTCTCAGCTAGAAGAAACCCTCACCTCAGATGGTGGAATCCCAAAAGCCTCCCCGATCTTGGCGTAAAGCTCTCGCACATTACTGAAGCCCTCAATGCGGCCAGTGGGACTCCCATGAGCGAGCTGGGTGTGGAAGATGAGTCGAGGTCTCATGCTGTTGGGAGGAGGTGGAAGCCCTTCAGAGGCAGCAGCTTCTCCCAGGCCAACCACTCCTCCATCCAGGCCTTCCATACCTGCCACATTGAGACCTGAACGAATGGGCTCTGCTTCCTCGTTCTCCACTAACGGGGATGCCTTCTTCCTTCTTCCCAGTCCCAGTGGCATGGTGGACACCGCTCTAGGAAGTTACGCCTCAACCCAAATCCGCATAAACCCGATGAGCTGCAGATCTGTTAAGTTATTGTTTCACAGTAGTGTGGTTCTCCAGACCAGCTTAAAAGCTGTCTTAACCCGGCACAGTACTGACTCAAGAGTCCACACATCAGAGCAGCTCACATAGCTGGATCAGTCCAGTCCAGCAATCTGGAGAAGATAAAGATGGAAAACAGAAACAAAACTCTTACATGTACATTTACAAATCAAATGAATCTCTGATCCTCTGCTGTCCCAAACAAAATCAATCCAACTGCTACTCAATCCAAAAAATGTTTTCTTCTCAATAAAGGTTCACCACTAATTTCAGCTGGGCCAATCACTGCATCAGACTAACATAGCAGCTGCGGCTAGCTACCTTTACTAGAAGTAAAACAAACACTAACAGCCTTAAAGTTAGCAACACAGCTAACTAAAAATGCAAGCGAAACCTCAATCGGAGTAACTCCTCGTAATATTTACAAACTAGAAACCTGAGTTAACTAGAACGATCATTTAACATGGAGATACAGGGGAAAACATGGCAGGTTGGCCATTCTTACCCGGAGCCAGACTTTGGACTCTTCCTGTTAGCTCAGCCCGCTAACGGCTCTGATGTTAGCTGTCACAAATCCACCCTACACTCCTGAGGAAGTTTACAATTTTCATTGGTTGTCACTTTATCTAAATTATACTGGAAGTTAATAACAACGGGTGTTTGTAATATACGAGCGTGTGTGTGCATTTGTTTGTGTGTGTGTGTGTGAGTGTCGGTATGTCGCTGTAGAATTAGCTTTTGAATCAGCCAAGCAGGGTGGAACAATGACGCCTTCAAGTGTAGCCTCGGAAATATGAGCTTCCCGGTTTACTGACTGAACTCACAAACTGAGAAATAACTTAAACTTGATTCATCGCCTATACTTTAGAAGATGTAGACATTAACAAAAACACTTACATTAAATTTACTAAATAGGTACCCGTCGGAATGAAAGGTTAACAAAACTACCCACGTTTATCTGGGAAATTACAGTCAGAGAAAATGATGTTTGATTTAAGGCAAACAGCTGACTTCATGTTGTATACTTGAAGGGAAAATTGAAGTATAGACTTCTATACATTTTCTATAGTTAGCGAAGCAAATAGGTTTTATATCTGTTATTATTTATTTTTCTTGAGTCGTGTACTTTAGTGTCCTCTAGCGGTCATTAATGCCTTTTTCATGTTGCTTTATTCGGAGAAAAAAGACTAGGCTGATGTGAACATTCAAATAGTTACATACAAACTTCTCCATTAACCATCGTATTAAAACACTTTTCAAACAGATTCGGTACTTACTGAGACTCTAGATTAATTAAATGTTCAGTTGCGATATCATAGAACCAAACCTGAAAGAAAATAACAAAAAGGGACAAACATGTGGTTACTAATAATATTGCAAATAGTCAAATAAATTAATAACCAACCACTGCACTTCCGGTTAAATCATGTGGGGCGATAACCATAGACATAAACAGCACATTAATATTTATAACTATATGTTATAAGTATTGAGAAGTGCTCTAAAGTATACAAATTTGTCCTTTTTGTTGTAACATGTTACAGATGTGATCTTAAACCTGAGACTTATTTAGTGCTTTAATTGTACATTAAATAGTCCTAATAAGAGCTCTGCTCCCCTCTGTCGGGCAGGATGAGCAACATCAACAAGGTGAGTTATGAGTAAAAATAGTGTCACACCCGTCAATGTCTATGGTAAAAACCGTTAAAACACGTTCAGTGGAATACATTTTACTTAAGTAAAATCACGTATTTTGGCTAATTCAGTTAGAATGACGTCGGCTGGATTTGTGTTAAAAATAGACATAATGCAACACTTCCGGATAAGCCCTTCAAAATTAGATAAACGTTGCAAAGTGCTAACAAAAAGAGCACATGACGCTCCCCGCGGTTCTTCCACCAAAGGCCTGGGAGCTCGAGGGTGCTAGTCAGGGAAGCCATCCTATATTTGTGAATATGTAAAATTTGCAAAGCAAGAATTTGGTCTAGTTCATTAGTCTATGTGCTGTTCCTAGAGCTACACTTTTCTGAACTGCTGAAGTTTTTCCTGGGATCTGCTTTGGCCTCCAGTTTGGGGCTTGCTGCCCAGAGTAGCCCGATGGCCACGGGTACACGGATACTCCTACAATAACCAGCTGTCCTCTTTTGTTTGTCCATTAATACCAGACATTATGGTGGTGGACAAACAACAGAGGACAGCCGTTGTGGTTGATGTAGCATTACCAAGTGAACATCAGGGAAAAGGAACATGAGAAACTAGAGAATACCAGACATCAGACACCTCAGTCAAGATACTGCGCAGAAGCCTCAAGCTCCCATGGCCTCTGGTAGAGGACCGGAGCTTGGAAGGATGAGACCACTAGTGAAGGGTGAGATGGGAATTTATGTAAAATATATATATGCATTCCTCTCTCTCTCTCTCTCTCTCTCTCTCTCTCTCTCTCTCTCTCTCTCTCTCTCTGTCTCTCTCTCTCTCTCTCTCTCTACGTATATATATACATATATACAGAGGTGGAGAGTACTAAAATTTCCTACTTAAGTATGAGTACCAGTACTTTGATAATTTTTTACTCAATTACAAGTAAAAGTACTTGCCTAAATTTTTACTCAAGTAAAAGTAAAAAGTATTGTAAATAAAATGTACTCAAAGTTAAAGTTACTTAGTTACATTTTTGTCAGCGTAAAGATGCACGCACACACATGGACACACACACAGTTTGTTGGAAGGATTTCTATCCAATCAGTCAGAGCAGGACGTGCACATTGATTGGACGAGGTTTTTCTAGGATTGTACGTTTCAATTGTGATTACAATTATTCTTTATTTTGAAAAACTAATGTTAATTTTTAGATGCCATCAGTATGTGAGGTATCTCAATGTTCTCGTGACAAAACTTTAACATGAGACTGTGCTCTGACCTAACATAACAAGCTAAATGAAAGTCAAACAGACCGTATGACAGCTGTTAACGTTGGCCCTGCCCTACTTTACCTCTACATTACTGTTCCTTTATCCATGTCCATCCTAGAGCTCCTCTCTGACCTTCATGCTTATTTAGAGCAGCTGATTTTTAAAGTTAGCAGAGTTCATCCTTGGTAGTGGGTTCACTCACTCATTTAAAGATATCAGCCAGAGGCAAAATTTGTTTGAACTGCATGTGTAAATGTGTATTGAAGCCTTAGATGAAAAAGGTTTTTGGATTTTGACGTCTGGAATTGTAAGAAAATCTGATGTTTGTGACTGGCGCGGGAAAAACAGAAACCAACTTCCGGTTTAAGCCCTGGGAAGCTGGTGACGTTTCACATGGAGCTCTGCTGAAACAGCTGTAGTACACAACGCCTGACTCCGGTGCATCTGCGTTAGCGTTATAGCAGAGAACAATGTGTCATCAATCAGATGTAGCTTCTGAAGCCTCTACTAGTCCATCAGATTTGTTTTTTCTCTGGGATACTGCGACCAGAACGGATATTGGATTACCGGAGAAGTTCAACCAAACTCCGACCCCGCCAGCTGGATATCACTACCAGAGGCGCAGACATGTTTTAGACCGTTTGATTCAGAAGACCTGCTACCCTATTTGGACATAGAGGAGGATTCTGTTCATCTTCAGAACCAAAATTGGTACAGTTTGTTTACTTTTCTTTAAATATTTTATTTCTGTGCTCCACTGGGAGCTCTAAGCTGACGAGTTCTCAGCTGGTCTTAGCTCCATCATGTGTCCCAATATAGTTCAGTAATCTACAGTTTTACTGCTGTGTGTATTTATTGATATAACTCTTGAAAATATTTAACCGACAATTTACCAGAATAAATCTTCCTGATGCTGGAGTAAATCCTTGGCTCAACTCGTTGTTTGCACTAATCCAGGATGTCAAGGAGGTTCTAATGTTGAAATATAGAGATCATCTTTTAGATTATATCTGTGTGTGTGTGTGTGTGTGTGTGTGTGTGTGTGTGTGTGTGTGTGTGTGTGTGTGTGTGTGTGTGTGTGTGTGTGTGTGTGTGTCGTAGCTTTCCCAAAGGACTTGTTCTTTCCTTACCGGAGCTAACGCGGTTAGCAGTTTTGCTGCAGTCATGCTAACGGGACTCGTCTAGAGTGCGGTTCTAGATGGATTTATAGATGTAGGTTATTATTTTAGATCAGACCTGTTATTTAAAAATGCGTGAAGGACACAGACACATGGCTCAGACCTTTTGCTGCAGCTGTAAATGCAATTTTACATTATTATTAGGAGCATGAAAGTAAACAAATAAACAAATAACAGTGATCCACAATACTAGTATCAGCAGCTAGCTTGTTTTATGTGTTGGAGTGACGTATGCGAAACACAGTTCTTCACTGTCTGGAGGAGAGGATTTGGATTTTCTGTAATGATTTATGACAAAAGTCCTTAATAGAATAAAAAACTGAACCCAGTTCATGTTTATATAGATGGTAAAGCGTAGTTATTTTACATTTCTACAATTTTAATGCCGAGCCAATACCTTTAACCCTTCACCACTGAAATCAGTTTGTTCATTCCAGTCCTCCTAAATAATCCTCCAATCATCCAACTGGAATCCTTCAGGGTCCCATAACGTCCATCCTGTCAGAATAGGCTTTGGGAGTAGAGCCCTGCACGGGCCCAAAATCTGAGCCTGTGTCCGGCCCGGTCCAAAAAGCTTTTCAGGACTCTCTGGCCCGACCCGAGCCAAAGCCCGACTTTTTTTTTTAACCAACTAAATTAAAACAAAGTGCGTCAATCCTGACCAATGTGATCCGAGCAATTTGATTTTCCCTCATTTACCGTCACTGAGATACCGGCGCACTGGCTCTGGTGGTAATCAAGTTAAATTTTATCTCTTTCCAACAATTTTCACAAGAAAACAAAACAGTTAAAACCAGGGCTTATGTTGTGTTGACCGGATAGTTCCCGTATTTGACCGTTTATTTTGTCGGAGAAAGAATAGAAAGAATTACCCCGACGCATGCAGACAAACTGACATTTTATTCGTTACGCACGTCGCAGATGTTGCTAAATCACCCAAGAAAAGATTTCCTTCTGAACATCTGAGCTGGACACTGTTCAGCGCAGCTCACTGTCAGCGCATATGTGCACAGCGAGCTGAAGATGTGGAGATTGGCTTGGAGCGCGCCGCAGAACCAGAGCGCATGCGGGAAGGTTCCTCCCACTGAAGCGAGTGTTTTCCAAACCCTGTCTCTCAGAGAGACTTGTCACTTAGAAAATGTTCTCTGATTATGAAACTTAGGCTGAATAGCGCTTGTTCCTTACTCCAATGTGGCGACGCATCCAGGAGCCGTCTGAGGAGAATCCCAGAATCTCACATTCTCTTCAGCTCAGAAAGCGCCTATGATTACGCACAAGCGTGACCCATCAACTTGGTCTCACAGTAAGACCGGGTTGGGCCTGTTCAGGTTTACGCAGACAATCTTTACATAGAATTGACTTACAGGTATAAAATTAATTCAGTAAAATATAAAGCATTTTACTTAAATATCCATTCATTATTTTACAAGCACAGAGAGCCGCATCAGAAGGATGGAAGAGCCGCGGGCTGCCGACCCCTGGTATTCCCAAAGTGTGGTGTGCGCACCCCCGGGGGTGCGCGAGCTGCCGATAGGGGGTGCGCGAGCTGCCGATAGGGGGTGCGCGAGCTGCCGATAGGGGGTGCGCGAGCTGCCGATAGGGGGTGCGCGAGGTGAAAAGTGTAATGGCTGAGGAGCTCAGAGAAGTCTGTCAAATGTCACCATTAGCGTAGCCAGAAACTCATTTGTGGGTGGGCCTAATAAATGTAATTGAAAACAAGTATATTTTTGCGCGCGTGTGTGTGTCCTCCAAATGTGCCCTAGCTTCATAATAACAATGCGCCGAGCTTCAGCACTCTGGCCTGCGCACGCCGATATGTTCCATATTTGATCATTTTTAACGGTGTTGGAGAAATCTGAAGGTGGCGAGTCATTCTGGCAGATTGTAATTAACACCTGTCTCATGCAGGTGTTCTGACATTGTAAACCTCACACACAGAACATTGTGGATGTAACTAAATAAATCAAGAAATGATTCCCATTCAGGCTATTAACAGCGCGCTGAAGATCTGAAGTTCAGAGTGCGTCTGTCAGAGGTCAGACGCGTTCCAGCGGAACCACGGCTCACGGGTGCACAAGTGAGCACATCTGGGCTGGGCAGAAGTCATTTTACTACATTGGTTTAAATAGCGCCGATAACGAGACGCGGTGACTTGAGCGGCTCATGGAGCTGTGCCGCACACACACACACACACACACACACTCACACACACACACACACACACACACACACACACACACACACACACACACACACACACACACACACACACACACACACACACACACACACACACACACACACTGCAGCATGTTAGAATCATTTGAATGACTAATTTAACTACACTGAGCTGCTTTTGTAATAATTTAATCTCTTATTCTGGAGTAAAATAAAGAAACAAGCTAAATCATCACAAATCTGTGGCATCAAGGAGCATCTTCTGAGTTCAAACACAGGGATGGAGCACAATGTTTACACCTGAACAGTATCAGGATGTGTTAACTCACAGAGACCTGCAGGTCTTCTGTTTGATGAGCAAAGCGCTGAGAATCCGCTTGTTATGAGCGCTAAATTTTATTTTGCCGCTTCCGTGCGGAGCGGTAGGGAAACACGTTTCAAACACGGAACCGAGTCTGGTTACCGAACCGAGCAGAATTCCAATGACGTAACACCGGTGCGCGAAGGTGCGGGTTCCAACCAACAGGTGAGGAGGGAGAGAGGAGATAAACAGCGAGTGGATCACAGGGATTGAACTGATGTTTTTGAGCAAACCTGCGGTAAAAATGTCTGTTCTCATTATCAAGGGTGTACCCCCCCCATCCCCCCCCCCCCCCCCCCGTTTAGATGCGGTGCTCATGCAGGTGGCTCTTTCTGTTCCGACGCTCTTGCACGTAATATTTTTAATTTATTAAGCCTACAATTTATTTTTACTCTGTAACGGATATGATTTAAAATGTAGCGAATTACAATTCTTTTTTAAAAACGTACTCAAGTAAAAGTAAACGTACAGATTTTAAAAACGACTTAAAAAGTATAAACGCACATAAAAGCTACTCAATTACAGTAACGTGAGTAAATTTAATTCATTACTTTCCACCTCTGCATATATATGTGTGTGTAGAGAGAGAGAGAGGCATGTTCTTAGGGTTCTACAGCCCCCCAAGGCACTTTACAACACAGTCATCCACCCAAGGACAGTCATCCTGGGACGCACTGACAAGAGGCTTGGCTGGCCGAACACTGGCGCCACTGGTCCCTCGGACCACCACCAGCAGGCAAGGCGGGTTAAGTGTCTTGCCCAAGGACACAAATGCAGGATGCTCTGGTCTGAGCCGGGATTGAACCTGCAACCTTCCAATTACTGGACAAGCCACTCTACCTCTTGAGCTACTGCTGTGCCACATTAGTTTTTATTGATATTGGAGGACGACGAACATTATTAAATATAAGATCTTCCCTGTAAGTTTTTAGTTTAAGATTAAAAAAAACTTTTTCTGGAGGAAATTAAATGTTTTTTAATTAGACAACTAGCCTATTTGCCATGGACAATGGTGTTAGATCGACATGCAGAAGACATATTTATTCAGTGAAATAAGTTGTTAATGCAAACGGTGCTGTTGCCATCTCGCTCAAGATAACACATCCCTGGCTAAACAAATATTTCAGGAAACAAAGACATTAAATGAAAACTACGAGAAAGCCACATTACTTGTAAAAATATAAGTAAACATATACTATTACTACAGGTATTATACCAAACCAGCCCAAAAGGACTAGGTGTTGAGATAGTTTTTTGGGGGCTGAGTTAGTCGTAAATAGTCAGTTTTATTAAAGTACCCTCATCAAACTACAACACAACTGATGTGCTCCCTGTGGAGTGTTTTCAAATATGTTTCATTTAAAAGTAATGATTCCATCTTAGTAAAGGACAAAGTGTTATTCTGTAACTGAAGAGGCTAAAGCTTGTTTATTAAGGAGGTAAAAATGAAAGAACATGAACCCCAGCTCTGGCTAATAAAGCATGAATGAGAAAAACAGATGATTTTCTTTTAAAAAGGAAGAAAAAGTAAACAAACAGCCTTTTTGCATACAAAAAGATAAACACCTCTTCCTCTAAGGAAAAGCAGGATGAAGCAGCAGAACCTCAAAAGCAAAAAAAGCTTTGATTTAGTCAAATCTATCACACTACCCACAGCCCAACAACACTAGTCCTCCAACTTATGACTCAGCATTTCTGGGGAATCTAAGTACAGTCAGCAAACAATGCAGCAAATGTGCATAGTGTTGGTTAATCAAATGATAACAAACTCTTGATTAATTAAACAGCAAAATTGGAACCTAAAGTCTGCACGATATTTGTAAAATACACCACTCATGCTGTACACGGGGTTAAAGTAAAATGTTACGCATAACGAAATTCACGTTTACGTTACTTTTGGATGCACACTCATGTGTAGAGCAAAACTGCGCAAGTCTTTGAATATTTCATATGCAGATTCAGTGAAACACTTTTAACATGTGCCATCTTTAACATTTCATGGATTTTTTTCTTCCAGTACAGATTCTCCCTTTGGATTTCCTCTCTGAGGATGTTGGTGTAGAAATTTGAGGCAGTGTGTGTGTTGACCTGGCAGCACTTAAAACTGACACTCTGAACTTTAACTTGACACAAAAAGAACAGTCTGTTTACTGCTGATAGTTGTTAGAAAGTCACACTTGGAGCAGAGACCTGTAGCTTGTCCTCTCAGGATCCACAGTTGCACCTGAGTTGTTGAACTCCCACAAACACCTGCTGTAAAACCAAATCATCACTAAAATCAAACTTCAAAGTTCCTCAGTTTTATTAACTTTGAAAATCGTCGTCGTCTTCCTCCGCTTCTCCGGACTTTGAAAATCCCATTAAAAATACCATCTCTTCTAAGCTCAGCTGGAATCAGATCCACACAGAGTTTCAAAACCAAACATCACACACAGCCTTGCTGCAAATGTGAACCTGTTAGCTGCTGCAGCCAAACATCCGCTTCACATGGGAAGTATGGTCTCGAGCGCATCGCGTGTGCTGGAACCCAGCTTGTCAGGGAAATTAACACAGAAGTCCAAGATCATGTCGCCTCTTTTTTCAGGATATTTGGACAAAGGGAGTCCTTCTCCACAGATGCGCTTCTTCGTCCCTGGTTTGACGACTTCTCTGGAGGTCACAGTGATGGTCCGGCCGTCCAAAGTGGGAGCTTTTACTGTGCAGCCACACAACGCCTGGAGACAGACACAAAAACAGGAAATTATCACCATGACAACTGTTAAATATTACACTTGTTATATTATCAGCCCAGCGCTCACCTCTTTAAGTGATATTTTAGTAGGAAAAACTATATCTGAGCCCTCTCTTCTGAAGACAGGGTGGGGTTTGTCTTTGACCACAAAAACCACGTCTGCAGGAATGTTGGTGGGGGTTTCATCACCTTCTTTAGGAAACGTGATTTTTGTTCCCTCCTTCCAGCCCCGTTTGATATTAATTGTTAAGATCTTGTCTTCTTTGTGCATGGTGCAGCCGTCAGGATTCAGTCTCTTACGAGAAATCTTCATCTTCTTGGTGCAGCCAGAGAAAACCTCCTCAAGACTCACATTCAGCTCGTGCACCACCGGAGGATCCTGCCTTTTCTCGTGCGCACTGTGCGGGCCACTCGGGTGGGGTTTAAAAGACCTGTGAAACCCACCCATTCCCCCCATGCCAAAGGCACTGAAGGGATCGCTGACATCTATATCATTGTCTAAATTTGTTGCGAAGAAGTGATCGAAAGGGCTGCGGCCTCCAAAGAACTCGGCAAATATGGCGTGAGGATCTCCGTTGAAGGTGTAGTTGAAACTGGGACCGCAGTGTACGCCCCCTCCAGCAGAACCCTTTAATCCTGTAGAAGACGACACAAACATTAAGCATGTGCGAGAAAACGTGCAAAGCGTTGTCAGAGTTTGATCAGTGACATTATTTTGTGTCATGAGAGATGTCCAGGAAACTGCTGGTTTACCGTTTATAATACATTATGAGCTGTGGTCTTTAGCCACTCCTCAGTTAAAGACGCGCCCACTCAGATTTTTAGCACCGATATCGATTCTTTTGTCTTTTTGTCCAGCTTTGCCAGTGATGACATTGGCTGATTACAGTTCCTCTCATTTAACACAGATTATTATTCTTATTATTAACTTGAAACTTTGAATCCAGGAAGTAAAGACCCCCACACAGACCTGGTATTGTTAGCATGAAATTAGCCTTTAGCCTTCATTGACAGATGGAAAATAAATCTGACCTTTGAGTTTCCAATTTTCCTATTATCACTGATTAATTAAAACATGTAGATTAGTTCCTATCACAAGCTTACTTTGGGGGTTATTTAAAGGCATTTAACATAGTTTAAATTGTTATTGTTTGACATCATGTGCTTCTCTGCGCATCTTTTATTGCAGTCCAGATAAATAATAATAATAACAATAATAGTAATGTTATGATGAAACATTCATTTGCAATGACTGCTGCATTTTTCACCTCGTTAAGTCATATTTATTACGTAAGAGCGACGGGAGAGCTGCCAGTCAGCTGTTTCCAGCTAATTCTCCAGCTTTTGTGTGCAAAAATACAATCGGTGCGTAGTGACGTCAGCACCATAAACACCAAACGCACGTCTAAAGACGGGATCAGCACCGTGGCGGTCAGCAGGCTGTTACACAACACCGAGTCACAACTACAAACTTGCGTGCTGAGTTCAGGTACCTTCTTCTCCATATCGATCGTAAACATCTCTTTTCTTCACATCGCTGAGAACGTCGTAAGCTTCAGCGACCTCTTTGAACTTGTCCTCAGCTCCAGGTGACTTGTTCTTGTCTGGGTGGAAACGCAAAGCCTGTTTCCTGTACGCCTTTTTTATCTCCTCTTCAGACGCGCCTTTAGATATCCCTAACACACTGTAGTAGTCTTTACCCATCACACTGTCCGGTCGGCTGTTCTGCTCGTTACAAAAACATTTTCAGCGCACATATCCAGACTTGTGTGCGGGTCAAGTTCGTCACTGCTCCGCCGTGGCAGCTGCTGCCTCCTCCGGACCGATTTCTGTCAGGGTGGTTGTTCAAACAACCCGAGAACCAGCTACTGGGTCTGAAGGAAGGCGAAGAGGACTTCTTAAATAAAACCAATAATAGAATTATTTTTAAAGAAACCTGCAAAAAAAGAACAAACTGTTCTTAGTTGTGAGAGTTGCATCCACGCTGGACAGAAGCCGGGCGCGGAAACTTCTGGAAGAAGCTCTGCAGCTGACGAATGTAGGTCGTCGTCACTACGGGGACAAGAGCATTCCCTCCCAGCAACTTCCGGTTTCGGTTCACACGCTTTCGTAGACATTAGTGCGGAAGTAAAAATGTTAACTGCACTTCATTTAAAATCTACTAGTTGAAGAATACGACTTGTACAACTGGTAACACATTTTCCCCTCTATTCCTTGTAATAAGTGATTGTGCTCTGTATTCTTATCTTTTGAACACTGTTTATCACTTTGGCCCCTTTGCTTGTTTGCTTGTATTGTTGTGCTTTACTTCGATACTATGTAAGATACCCAGTTTCACTAATAAAGTTTGGAAAAAAGTAAACACGTGCAAGTGAAAAAAAACTTCATTTCAAACCTGTTTACTGTTTAAAACATAGCTAGAAATTGTGTTTACATGATCACTAAACGTTAGGACAGAGGGATAGCATCAAATGTCTCATTTGAAATTATTATTAATAAAAATTATATATGATAATAAAAAAGTCGAAAGTCAATGTTTTCTAACAAAAACTATATAATTAAAAAGCAGGTAAAGGATGAATGTTGGGGAAAAAATAGCAAATACAAGTATGTAAATACAAGCAAATACAAATTATACAACGACAAACATCAATTCACAGTTTACCACTTCACATAATATATTTAAAAGTATTTTTGAAGGGTGTTTGGGGTTAAACAGAGGAGGAGTCTGGCAGGCCAGGTTATTCACAGATTATCTTTACTAACTAAATCCTGAGTCAGGTCGTTTCACTGCAGCGCCCTCTAGAGGGGACACCTTAAATCACTGGATTACTCCATTAGAGATTATAAAAGCTTTGACGCGAAAATGTTCTTAGATTATTTTAGTACTTGAGAACAGAAAAAAAGAGGAAATTTAAAAAGTGACCAAATACTTATTAATTTCAATAAATCTGATGCTTTTTCTACATTATGGGGATTTTTCCCAAAACATTTGTTGAAATAAAATGTTAATCCTTACAAAAAATAATAATCCAGAATGAGTAACACTGAACACAATTTAATAAAAATTTAAATTAATCTGATTCATAACATTTAAATTTGCAGCAGAAAAATGAGAAGAAGATTCTACAGAAGTCTTGGTGTGACTATGATTGTAGCTTCAGATCTTAAGAGCAACAATGACATCGTGATCGCCTTACCTCTGTTGTTACAGCAGATCAGAGGTCACCATGTCAGGATTACTACCATTGATCACATTTATTATCATATGTCACCTTTCATGTTTGCTGATCAGGTTTGTGGAAGCAAGATCCGGTTTAACGTCGGAATGTTTCTAATCCAAAACTCAAATCTGATCTTTGAATGCTTGCTACAGCTGTTGCAGCGTGCTACTGCCTACTTGTGCAGCACAGCCTGTTATAAATAACCCATTGAATGTAGATATGCAGTAGGCTATGTGAGATGTTGCATTGACCCAGTGTGATGAGTGATATCTCTGATCTTTTCCCAAACAGCATTGCCTGCCCTCTCTTCACACCTCAAGTCCTCATGCTGGTTTCAAGCGCACAGACCCTAAACCAAACAAATCAGGGATACATTTCATTTTATTCATTCTGGAGTTTGGAAAAAGAAAGGAATATCGGTGCTGCAGGTGCTCATGGAGGGGAATGGGTTTGCATGAGAAGTTTATGCAAAAGATCAGAGGCCTTTTCAATGACACCAAGAAGAAATAAAGCCGAGAGTTGGACCTTACAGAGCGTATTCTGTCACTGAGTGGAGCAGCGTGAGGCTTCTCCGGGCTACCGAGCTGTTGCGACTTATATTTAGCTTTGCAAATGGCGCACTATGGATTATGTCTTGGGGCTCTCCAGTTTCGTCTTCAGTGCATTTTACTGCGTGAAGGGGGGTCGTGGATCTCCAAGAAGCTGCTATTCAGGTGATGAGCTGATCTACTGAGAGCAGCTCTCGCTTTCTTTCCAGTTTCACTCCTCTTTCAAATCTACAACTTGTCTCTGGAAGACATTTTTGTGGCCGTTCCTTCTCTCAGTTTGACTAAAGATCTTTTGTTAACCAGAGGTGTTGCTCAGTTGGCGAGAGTCTGGGAGCAGATACTTGAGCAGAAGACCAGAGCAAGTTGACTTTCACAGGTAACTTCACCAGACTGTTGGAGTTTGGGATCGAGCTGTCATGGATATACTTGCCTTAAAGGCAAAGGAAACAAATGGAGCTGAACCTGAGAAGAAGCCTACTCCTAGGCCCAAACCAAAACAGCCCAAAAAGGCTAAAAGGATTGTTTATTTTGAGGTGGAGATCGTGGATTTGAAGACTAAAGAGAAGCTGCTTCTGCTGGACAAGGTGCGTCTCAGTGGGACCGAAAGTTTTCCTTAAATTAGATTTATAAACATCAGCTATTTTACTCAAATTCATCTCAAAACCCTCTTAATGGAGTGGTTGTGTGTCCTTTGAGTGAGGGTTTGCAGTTAGGAGGTGAGAACTCCCTTTTTATCTGATGGAGCTCTGGCACATGGCTGTGCTACGCATGGTGGAGCTAGATAGACGGGATTAGCCGCTTGTATAAATGTGCAGATGTGGTGTAACACGCACAGCAATGTTTCAGACGAAAAGAGGGAAATTACACTGAAAAAAATAAACTACACATTTTGCAAATATCCATATTTAAGTCAAGGCTGTTGCTATGAATGTTTACATTTTTCCCCTTTAAATTCAGGTGGAACCAACTGCAACCGTTTTAGATATTAAAGCTTTGTTTCACAAATCATGTAAGTTTAAATGTATTTGTTTTTACTACCATCAGCATGTGGAATATGTTTAATTTCAACGTCCAGCGTGTCAAGAATAAAATACGTTTCTGTGTTTTTGGCAGACCCAAGGTGGTATCCAGCTAGACAGTCTCTGCGTTTGGACCCAAGTATGTGAGCGTCTGTCCAGGTCGCCTGACCTAGTGGTGCTAAGATGATGCGATATTGTCTGATTATCATGTTTCACAGAGGCCAAGTGTCTGAGGGATGAGGAAGTTCTCCAAACACTTCCTGTTGGAACCACAGCCAGCTTTTACTTCAGTGACCTCGGACCCCAGCTCACATGGGGAACAGTGAGTCAACACGCAGATGCTGAGCCCTGCAGCTGAAACATCTGCTAAGCTGTGGAACGGAAATGTTTGTGTTACTTTAATCTGATTCAGATCCTGATTTTTTATTTTAATGAAATAATCTTAAATACAAATTAAAAATGTTAACCCCTTTGGGAGCTGACCTTTATCTGTCCCAAGCATCGGATAGCTGTAGAGGATGTGATCTTTAGTGGTCATCTAGCTAAGAGGCTCGCACACAAAATAAGCTGTATGGTGATTTTCACGTAAAGCCATTAGGGCTGTTCTTATGCTAGAATATTAACAGAAAGCCTTTCACTCCCTCAGTAGCTCCTGAATATAAATATCACCCTGCAGCGACAGATAAAGATGATTTGCTGTCGCTCTCGTCTCTCCACCTCCTGCCCTGGCCGCCCTCTTTGCCAGGACATGTAATCTCATGGCCCCATTTCTCTCCAAGGTGTTTATCCCCCCGACCTCTGGCTTGCCTTTTACTGTGCCTCTTTATTCCCTCTCAGTGACACAGTTGCTCCTTCCCACATCATGTCCTTAACTACCCAAACACACACCCTTATTGGCTGTAAACTGATGGAAGTGTGAATGAAGAAGAGCGACTTGTCCAAGCAGAGATCACCACTGGTCTGAGCCAGCGTTGCTGATTCAGGAGTCTGTGTTGGGCTTTACAGGTCGGACACGGCTGAGCTGTGTTCCTGTCAGTGCTCAGTAGAAATAGATGTTGCAGAGGTAAAATGAGCCATAGTGAAAGCTGAGGTATTGGTGTCAAATACACATTCCTGTCCCTGTGAAAGTGCAAAGAAATGTAGAAGTTTAAAGCCTCCTCTCTCACTGCAGGTGTTCCTAGCTGAATGTGTCGGCCCGCTGGTTCTTTACCTGATGTTCTACTTTCGTCTACCTTTCATCTATTCTCCAAAATATGACTTCACCAGCAGCAAGCACTGGGTTGTACAGTGAGTGTCAGCTTGTATATTTTGTTCTGGAACCATAAGCCCCCCCCCACACACACACACATCCCCCTTGTACCCACCCACAGATCTGAGCTATATAGTGCCACACAGTGGTGAATGTAATGGACTGCATCAGAGCAATATCTTTTTCACACCTAATGTGTGTGTGTGTGTGTGTGCGTGCGTGCATGCGTGTGTGTGTGTGTGTGTGTGTGTGTGTGTGTGTGTGTGTGTGTGTGTGTGTGTGTGTGTGTGTGTGTGTGTTACCTGCTGCAGCTTGGCCTGCATATGCCACTCCTTCCACTATGTCAAGAGGATTCTGGAGACCCTGTTTGTCCATCGGATCTCCCACGGGACTATGCCTCTCAGAAACATATTTAAGGTGCTGTCCACTTTACTGTACATGAGTGTGTGTGTGTGTGTGTGTGTGTGTGTGTGTGTGTGTGTGTGTGTGTGTGTGTGTGTGTGTGTTTACCTTTTTCAAAACTCAGTGTTTTCCACCTGCTATGTTCGAAGCCACATCTAGACAGCTGGACTTATTCTAGTCCCACTTTCTGTTCCAGAACTGTGGCTATTACTGGTGCGCTGCAGCTTGGATGGCATATTACATCAACCATCCGCTCTACACCACACCCTGTAAGTGCTGACTCTACAGTACTTGTTTTGCTCATCGCTCAGAGTTAATACCCTTAGCTGTTTGTCTTTTAATACATTAACAGTTTACGGGCAGCAGCAGGTGAACACAGGACTTTACGTCTTCATAGTAAGTTGTAGATTTATCTATCTGCAGACACTAAACACAACAATCTCTCGTTTAGTCGAATTTTGTCTTTTTTCTCCTACAGTTCTGTCAAGTTGGAAATTTTTCAATCCACGTTGCTTTGCGAAACCTCAAACTACCAGGTGAGTCTGTCGCAGCAATGCTCGTAGTTATATTTGAACTTTAAGTACTTGTTTTACTTCTGAGTCTGCAGACAGCACTGCAAAACTCAGGTTTGTCTTTTTATAGGATCAAAAGTCAAGAGGATACCTTACCCAACAAAAAACCCTTTCACATGGATATTTTGGTTGGTGTCATGTCCAAATTACACATATGAGGTAAGAAGTTACACATGTCCGTCATATATGCATCATGTGATGTTCCACACCAGCAAACTGATGCCAGCTGTGTGGTTCCCAGCTTTATTAACCAATAGAGACTCTGTTGCTGCCATCTACTGGTAAACGTGTGTGTGTGTGTGTGTGTGTGTGTGTGTGTGTGTGTGTGTGTGTGTGTGTGTGTGTGTGTGTGTGTGTGTGTGTGTGTGTGTGTGTGTGTGTGTGTGTGTGTGAACCTCTTGCTCACAGCTGGGCTCCTGGATCGGCTTCACAGTGATGACCCAGTGTGTGCCTGTGGCTTTCTTCACCCTCGTGGCCTTCATCCAGATGACTGTGTGGGCCAAAGGCAAACACCGCAGCTACTTAAAGGAGTTCAGAGATTATCCAACTCTTCGCTCATCCATTCTTCCCTTCATCCTGTAGAGCCTGTACAAATAAATCAGCTGTTCCTAACACCAATCTGTTTCTGCTGAGGTTATGGATCATTTTTGTTCATCACAAGGAGAGAGGTGGATTGTTTGTTTCTGAGTGCTGGACTGAGGCATTGACATATATACTGGTCAATTTGTGTCCATAGGTTTGAATTATACATTTTTGTTCCCAAATGGGAGGTTCCCACCACCTCCCTTTTGACCATGTCACAGGTCCCTTCGCATCCAGACAATCCAAAAATGGCAAAAGAGGTGGAGCTAAGGGTGGGGCTTTTACGTTTGGAACAGGGTTGGAACAAATGAACCAGTGTAGCCACTAGCCAACTTAGCTAACCCAAGAAGCTAAGAAAGGCTGCTTGGACCGGGGTATCCCACCCCCACGACTGACTGGCTCCTGTGCTGGGCTGTAGTCATGCTGGTCGCCTGTGGAGATCTAATATGAACTGGGACTGTTAAACTACAAGCGGAGCCCCAGACCGCTGTGATCACAGCCGGGCACCGTGGCCTTTTACATCAGCTCATGCTCTACTGTCAGAGAAAAGTGGGACATTAGCTACATGCTAACCCAAAGCTAATGGAATTTTTCTAGCCGTTTTCAGCAAGAAAAATGCAGTAGAGCGACTCCAAAGTGAAGGCATCTCCAGCCTGCTTAGTAATGAAATCAAAACTGCTGACCGAGGATATCGGGCTTCGCTTGTCCACCGTGGTGAAAGATCTGCATGTACGCCGTTGTTAATGTTCTCTTCTCCGGGAACTGGAGATCAGCAGGACATTAGCTACTTGCTAACCCAAAGCTAACAGAGTTTTTCCTGGCAATTTTCAGCAAGAAAAAAGCAGTTGAGCAATTCAGAAGTGAAGCAGTGTCAATAAAAAGAGCTGTTGTGTTTCTGTGGTCTCCCTCAGAGATCCAGCATTGACCAGCATGTCTACATTAGAGCCCTGCACGGGCCTAAAATCTGAGCCCGTGTCCGGCCCGGCCCGAGGGGGTGGAGCCCCAGCTCGACCCGGTCCGAAAAGGTTTTCAGGATTCTCTGGCCCGACCCGAGCCCGACTTTTTTTTAAACCAACTAAATGAAAACAAAGTGTGTCAAATGTGTTAAAAGACGTGCAGGATCCGATCAATTTGTTTTCCCCTCGTTTACCGTCACGGAGATAACAGCGCAGTGGCTCTGGTGGTAATCAAGTTAAATTTTATCTCTTTCCAACAATTTTCACAAGAAAACAGAACAGTTAAAAGCAGGGCTTGTGTTGACCGGATAGTTCCCGTATTTGACCGTTTATTTTGACGGAGAAAGAATAGAAAGATTTACCCCGACGCATGCAGACGAACTGACATTTTACTCTACGCACATCGCAGAGCAGTGTCCAGCTCAGATGTTCAGATGGGAATCTTTTCTTGAGTGATTTAGCTACGTCTGCGATGTGCGTAGAGTAAAATGTCAGTTCGTCTGCATGCGTCGGGGTAAATCTTTCTATTCTTTCTCCGTCAAAATAAACGGTCAAATACGGGAACTGTCCGGTCAACACAAGCCCTGCTTTTAACTGTTCTGTTTTCTTGTGAAAATTGTTGCAAATTAAACTTGATTACCACCAGAGCCAGGCGCACTGCACTGGTATCTCCGTCACTGTAAATGAGGGAAAAACAAAAATGATCGGATCTTTTCTGACCTTCCCCACCTACAAAGTTTAATTACAACAATCAAACGTGACAGAGCCTGGATTTGTATTCTGAACAGTCTAAACATGTTTTAAAAAGAAACATAGGACAAAAGTGGCACCTGCTCAGTAAAACCACCAACAGGGTGAAAAATATCAAAATATTGTAGCAGAGACGGGCTACAACTGCTGGATCCATTTTATATAAATCATTTTATTGATTATTTTTTTATGAAAGATAGCTTTGACGTACACGAGCAACAGGTACCGGCTGCTGTCACCTGTTGTGATTGGTTAAAGCAGCTCTCTGCTGTCTGAGGGTAGGCCCCGCCCACAACGCCACGGCTGCTGTGGCTCCCAGTGTTTTCTTCACTATGGGAAATGGGTAATAATGGCTCTTTGATGGGAACAGGTTGCCGACCCCTGGTTTAAGTGTTTTAATTTTTTTTTATGAATTTGATTAAAAATAAAGGCACCCGGCCCGTGTCAGGGGTAATTACACAGTTATTGGCCCGAAGCCCGGTCCAAGGGCCGCCATTCTCAGGCGGTAGACAGGAGAAGCTATGCACCTGCTCAAGGTTCTTTTGCAGCCCCACCAAGCAGCTTCCCCCCAATAAAGTACAGAAATATAATTTTACTTACTGATATAAAGAAGCAGAAACTGCTTGGATGGTCTGTTAGTGCGCTTTCTCCCTTTTTCCAACTAATTCCATGATTAACATCCAAACACAGACACACAGAAAAAAGTTCAGCGTCGAAATGGCCGAACATTTATTCGCATGAGGCTGAGGCCTTTCTCCGGAGCTAGTGGCTCTAGTGCTAATTAATTATTCAGATTTTTAAGCATTAAATTCCACTTGAACAAAAGTTACAAAAATTAATTCACCCTTCTCAGAGTTGTCATGAGTGTAAACTAGATCTATTAAACCTAAAATGGTTTTTTGAACCAGGCAGTAAACATGTTTATTTCTGGTGTAAAATTGGCATTTTTAACATGGGGGTCAATGAGGATCTGCTCACTTCTGCTGCCAGACCTCTAGTGGATGAGGGTGGAACTGCAGTTTTTTATCACTTCCTTATTGGCTTCAAATTTGCTGCAGAATTATGGGGCTTGGACTGAGGACAGGGAAATGCAACAAAGTCTTACTTTAACTTTGAGTGCGATCAAAAGGAAAACAACATTTTGGTACTTTGAGTTGAATCATGTTTAAAGAGCAAGTACACTAAGAAACAGTTTTATATGATCATTATTTCCATGATCGGTCAGTCTGAATTTTACATGACAGCTGAATGTGATACTTTCTCCAGCATTAGCCGACAAAGAATATGGACAAGGAAATGCTTGTACCAGAAAAGTCTGTCAGATCAACTCGATGGTGTAAATAAGCATCCATGGACTCACCCGTCTTGACTCACGACGGAGAAGGCTGATGTTGGTTTAACATCCAGGAAACAGCAGAGAACATCAGTGTTAGTAGAAGCTAACCGTTAGCTTCAGCAACTCCACCACACAGCTCACCTCCAGGCTTGGGTTTTTTGTGGAGATATTACATCAACATTGCAAAGCAAACACAGTCAGTGATGGAGTCACGTTGCTGTTATCCAATCAGAAGCTGGATGCCCGAATATCAGGAAATATAGACCCCAAGTCCTGTTTTCTCCTCCCACTAACTTCTGTTTTCTGAAACGGGAGCACTAGTTTTTCCCCCACAGAGGACTCACAAGGCATCAGTTTATATTAGACCACTGAAAATGTATTGAAATAACAAGTGAATGAGAGTATGACTTCTCTAAAAGCCTCAGAACGGGCAGTCAGACCTGAGAAACCAAAGGTGAATCTGAGTTGGTAAACTGGTGTGCAGCCTGGAGCTGCACTCGTTACACTATCATTCAACTCCATCCGTGTTAAACTCATCCGACTGCAACTAATTGGGCTCTTCATAAAACATGGAACTTTGATGTTATTGAAAATAACTACCCAGCTTCAATAATTATAAAGAGAACAAATTCTGCTGAAAATAAACTTTTATGGTTACATTTTATTTACAAGTGTACAGGATTTCATGACTCAATTGTGTTCTTTTTGGAAAGTGTTGGATTAAAGTCAATAAATGATCAGTTAGGCAGACATGAGCTTTTATTTGACCTCTAGAAGAATCTCTTTATTATGGTTAAAAAGGGAAGAGCTACACTGGAGATGAAGACTTGGTCATGTGTGGAATGTTCAGACGTCCGGCTTTGACCAGAACACAAAACTCTAGTGTGCAGGAGAACAACAGAACATATTGCATTTCATAAAAGTATCTGTAAACAAAAACTTAGCAGCTGTTTTGAACCAAGAAACAACTAATCCAGTATGAGTTACATTTAATCATTTCCTTTGCTTAAGTGTGTGTAAAACAAAACAAAACCTGAATATTTCTGGTCAAACGGATCTGAAATTGTTCCCCAAAATGAAACTGTATTATTATCGGACCACAATCAATTCCTTAAGACAGCCGAAAGGAGAATCAAACGTATCCCAGTGATGCAAAGATGCTGCAAACCTCATCCAAAGCAGCAACCACTGCGGGAATGAAGAGTCGGGAATACAACTGGGAACAAGATACACACATTGAACACTTGACTCAACAAAAAGGAAGCACGATTAGCCGCTGAGTTTCCAGTGCCTTCACCTCGACGAGGGGACACCTTTGCAACAGCACCACCCAGTCCTGTCTGTGGGTCCACTGGTACTGCTCCACTTAAACACGCTGTGCCAGCAGCAGGCGCTTCGGTCCACCACGGGGTGAAATGGAAACAATTTGAAAACCAAAGACCACAATGAGAGGTAGGATGACAGTAATTCAGTTTCTGGTCATTCTCACAGTGAAGGTAAAGTCCACTGCTGCGTAACACCCCCCACCCGCCTTTACATACGATGCATATGGAGGTGGGATCCAGATGGAAGAGGGGTCGCATGCACGTTTATGTCCATTTGATTTTGTGTGCCGTGCTATTCGTCACTTCAGATGTCTTCGCATTCCAGGAAGTGGGTCCTCTGCAGCACTTTAACATGACGCTCGTATATTTTGAGGGCGGGGCCGAGTCGGATAGACAGGCCGGTCAGCACGTCACTGCGCTGCATCAGAAGAAGGGACTTCCCATCGATTTCCTGTTGAGGAGAAATTAGATTTTTGTTGACTTGAAAATTTCTGAATGCAAGAAAAATATAAGTTTTGGGTTTTAAAGAACTAAATGGCTCTGTGGCAGCTTTACAGAAGTCCACTAACCTGTGTTCGAAACGCCACCGCCTGCTCCGGAAACCCTGCTGCTGAGAAATAACTGGCCACATCTGACACGGTCCACTGCAACAAGTTCTGCTGCATTTTCTCTGTCTTCACCGAGCTGGAGGAAATTAGGGATAAAAGGTCAGAACCAAGGATCTCAGCTTCATTCTACGTTGGTATTTTATATCTGATGGTAACTGCTTAAGGTTTGGTGTCAGAATAAACACTAACTGCTCATTTAGACAATCAGCCTAAACCCAGATCTGCAGGTGGAACAAAAACAAGGGTCCATCTGACCCGCTGAACAGGAGCTGGTGATGCTTAAATAATCAGGCCTCCTTCATTAAATCATTTGATTTTCTGTCCCAATGAAAGTTACCGACTGGAAAAACACAGTAAATGTAAGTGTGCAGGAGACAACAGGGCGTCAAACTGATGTGGAAATAAAAGATAAAGACTCACAAATCTTTGCCACCGTTTAGCAGACAGCCTTCAGTTTCTGAGTAGGACACGTCCATCTTCTTAAACACACCTGGGGACAAAAAGAAGCTTCAGGTTTCAAATTATGGGCCATTCCCATCTGTACCGGGTCGGCCCGGGCCGGGTAGCCCCAGTCGGCCCCAGCCTGGCCCGGTTGATTCCACACATCCTTGTCTTAAGCCCATGTGGGCTGATTCTACCCACCAATCAGAGGCTTGCTCTAATGGAAGGTGTGAATTTGCTGTCAGCAGTGGGTGTGTTGGCCCTGGTCGGCCTGAAGCAGACCCCCTCCAGAAGAGGGCTGAGAATGAGCCTTTGTTGGCCCGGAAAAATACCAGGCCACCCAGATATGTAAACAACCTACGCTACCCGGCCCGGGCCGACCCGGTACAGGTGGGAATGGGGCTTTACTGTGCACCAGCTCAGCGGCTTTGTCTCTGTGACAGACGGCAGACGGCACCTCCGTAGGAACTAGTTCTATTCTCCGGGATTTAGAACGACAAACTTCAGAATGTTGATATTAACGGATGTGATAATGAACCACAAGCAGCACGCTTAAGTATGAAAGATGTTCTTTCCATGCTTCTGCTGTCATGGTGGAATGTGTTTTCCTATTAGAGTAGGGTCATGGTTCAGACGCAGCACTGTCATTTCCCTGCTCACCTTTACATGACACCATCAGGGTTCTTGATATTTATAAGACACACTAACTCTAACAAACTGCTCCACAGCCATTACAACCTGCAGCATTAAAGAAACATCTATGTTCTTTTCTCCAGCGTCTACCTGCATTAAAACCCAAAAGGTTCCAACTCTAAACTTTTATGTCTCAAACCAAACAAACCTCGTCAGTAGGTGAAAAAGCTCCGAGTTCAGTTGCACCCACTAAAAAACAACGTTCCTGGTGGAAACTTAACATCTGTAAGTGGTGGACAGATGTTTCTAGTCACAACTGAACAATAACTTAGCAGTCCAACCAGGATCTCCTAAATATGTGTTTATTGCAAAGCACCTTCCAGGAGAGATGGAGATCAGCCTCATCTGTGTGGAACACACACGGAAACAAAAGCACATGAAACGATGGACCAGACTCACCGTTGTCAGGTGGCACGGGTAGTGTGTGTGATCTTCCATCACAGACATTCTTGACCTCATCCTGCTGGACGGACACACACACACACACACACACAATCATGTCAAGCACAAAGCAGAAAGATGAAAGCAGCATACAGATGTGACTAAAGGGACTGGAGGTCAGTTACTGGTCGAGCTGCAGAGTCTGGGACCAGCTGGTCAGACGAGAGGCTGCTGTCCTCCACCTTGCTTCCCTCTTCTTTCTTTACGTTGCTTAAAACACAGAAGGTTGTAGCTCCAGGGTGGTTTGCTGGCTTCATGTCTACCGTGAACCAATTAGAAAGCCAATTACTCACTGATATAATCGACACTGGCCAGAGCACACTGTGGCTCTGTCGGTTAAATTTACCCAAATGATTAGTTTAATAACCTGAGTGATGCTACTTAAAACACTTTGTTTAAACCTGAATACGTGCTGCAGTGTTTGGGATGCGAGAAGGTATCACACTGCTAAGGAAGTGCATTATCTTTGTTTCTGCTCTGTATCTCGCTTACATTACTGCGTTTCTGCCTAAATACACAACAATTAATCATCCACAGCAAAGCTCAGCATAAGCGTGCACAAGAAACAATATCAAGACTGCTCCGTGATGCTGGGTGCACACATTATCCTGCATCAAGCAGCCCGATTACCTTTGTCTCGCTGCATTCCTGGGTGCTGGCACTCCACTGGGCTGACAGTAGCATCATAAGCCCAGTCATTGTGTGGAAGGGCCCTGGGGCTGGAGGGGGGCAAGGAGTTGGGCCTCCCTCCCACCTTCTGGGAAGAGGCACAGTCCAGAGCAGAACCAGAGCTGCAATTAGGGCCAGGGCTGGGCAGAGCGCCAGCGGGAGAGCAGGGTGCAGAAACAGCTCGCACAGGAGCGCAAAGCACAGGGGCGCCTTCATGCGTGTGGCTGGGGGAGGACCTGTCCTGCCCATCCCGGCTCTCCTCAGCCCCCTCGTCATCTGGATTACTGTCTGTGTCCAAAGTCATGGAGGTATCACCCTGAAACACACAACCAGGGGGCTGCATGTCATTTCTCACCACATTTTCTTTAAGTCAATGGAAATCCACATGCAAGTTGCTTCAGACAGGCCTAGATCTGAAAAGTCAGAGACCTGTAATTCCTGCCAGGGTCGAGTGGGACTGATTGTAGGCTGAAGGTGTCAAAAAATAAATAAAAAACTAGTTACCACGTGATGCTGCGGTGGTAAATGACAGCATCTGATTTCATTCACTGGCTGTCAAAAAACATCCCATTAACGTCATAAATTAGGCGGCTTGACCAGACGCATTTATCACTTTCAGCAAGGCGGAGTTTCTTCTTTTCTTTCCCTTTTTTTGTCTCGACGGTGGCCTGTGAGAAGAACTACCTTATGTGCGTTTTCAGCAGAGGCGCACAAGAGCGCACTAAAGCCCGCCCCGCCCCGCTCCGTTTGTGCGGACCGCATTTCAGACAACTTTCACCCAGAAACAGAAAGACGTGTCCCCGTGGATCCCATCCAACACCATTTCATCTGGAGCTCACTGAGCTCGGTGCGTTACCACAGGCCTCGTGTTCATCGGCAACACTGAAGCGAACGAAAAAGAGAGGCGGGATTTTTTCCTCTCAAATTTCCTCCAAAGTGCGCATGGAGTTCCGAGCCGCTGCAAAAAAAGGAGAGAAAAAAACCTCGCCATTGTGTCTGTGGTACAGATCCGCCACCAATAAACACAGGACTGGAAATAAACACGAGGTTATACTCGATGTGCAACAACAGCCTGCGCAGGCAGGCAGCAGACCTCTCCACGGTCCACTCTGACTTTGCATCGGGTCAACCGTTTACTGTAAAAGCGACGCAACAAAGAAAAACGTGGATGATTCCGTTATCGGACGCGTTAACGCCTTTGCTTTTACGGGGTTGCATGACAAGGCTGTTAACGTGTGTGTGTGTGTGTGTGTGTGGGGGGGGGGGGGGGGTCAGAGTCGTCAGCCGCATTCATTTTACAGCAACACACACACGCGTGCGCGCGCGCGTCTTTTCTGACAACAAAGTCAATTTGATCTCTGCTTAACCCAAATCGGACAGGCGCATCCGCCATCTAGCGCCGGGAGGGAACAGTTTGTGGTCGCGTTAGTTCACAGTCGCCGGCGGCTCTTCTGTGGGTGTTTGCTTACTTTGCACTGCTGTGATTCGTGTGAAAATTTGTGGTGCAAATAATCAACAAACATTGTGAGGAGAAGCAGCAGCTGCACGGGACGAGAGGGGCCATTACACCGAACGCCGCGCCACGGACGTGACCAGGTCTGGCAGGGTGTCCGATAATGGAGCTAGGGGCTAGACTTTATGCACTGCGTCGACCCCCCAGGGAAATCCATCTAACGTAAAAAAAAATGTGTCAGACTTGTTTCATGAGAACTTCGTTACGCATTTAACTGAGGTAAGTGTGCCATTTTAAAAGCCGCGACGTACCGCTGCAATAATCTAAAGCACAGATGTCACGTGTTATGGACACATCGCAGTGACGTGTCTGTAACGTCTCAACTCGCTTAACAAAACTAATAAAATCGGCGACCAAATGTCCCATCGTCCCCGATCAGCCTCCAACATCCGAGGTGTTGGAGACCCCCCCCCCCCCCCCCCCCCACCCATTCCCACCCTGACTGTAGCGCACGAGAATGACAGGAAGTATTTCCGGTGATATCTTTCAAAACAAAATCCTCATTGTAGGAAGTGAACTTGAATGCTTTTATTTTGAAGTACAGTTAGCTAGCCTTCAGGATGAGCTTGACTTGTTTCTCCCCTTCGCTCAGAGGCGAGTTTGGGGCTTGAAAAGCGCTTTCTGTCGCTGATAATGGAGGCTGGGGGTTGTTGCGTCCAGGCAGGACGAGGCAACTTTACCCTGGTGTATGTTTGCGCCGTTGCTTTTAAGTGCTTAACAACTGGCGCAACGTAAAACCTGCCGTGCTCGCACTAGCTAGTACACGCGCACCTTCTTGTCTTCTCCGCGGTAGCGCTCGCGCGAGGTCCAACCGCCGCTCCCCGTCTGCGGCAGTTTTGGGTGCACTTGCAAATCACTCCCCTCACCCCTCCCAGGGTAAAAAAACAACGTTTTGCATTTCCAGCATTTTTTCTCAAAGCCCACGACTCTCGGTTTGTACTTTCACCTGCACGGCTGGCGCGATGCGACATGACAATGACACGAGAGCTGGTTCAACGTTGACTCGCGCAACAGCAGCACTCAACGTACCTCTAAATCCTCCTCGTCCTGGTCCACAGCACCGAAAGCGCTGTCCCCGTTGCTCAAGTCCGAATGACTGGCTTCGTCCGCCGCGCTCCTTCTCACAGCCGTCGTTAACGAAACATCATCCTTTTTTCTGCTTCTCCGCTGAACCTTTGCGGCGTTCCGATACGAAATAGAGCCTTTGTAGTTAACTTTCAGCACGGTTTGTTCCTGAATCAGTTTTTCTAGTTCTGCGCAGGTTCGGTCGGGCTCGGACCCGTGTCGTCTCCGGACCATTCGGCAAATCCTCTCCAAGTCTGGCCGGGCTTTTCGAGACCGCAGCGAGTCGATAGTGTCCAAAATCCACTCGCGGTACTTGGATTCAGACATTTCCCCTCCGCTTATTTGTTTGCCTCTTTCTCCCTCTTCTTCGGACCTTGGTGCGTCGAGCCTAAACGTTACACTCGGTGGTTTTCGTGATCCGCGGTCCGAGCCCCACTGAGAAGCGGAAACCTCGCTCTACGCCTCCTGCGTTTGCGTGTGCGCTTAAGGTGGACCGACATAGTTATAGCCAAAAGTTTCACTTGCGAGGCGGGTTTAAGGTGGAATGTGGAGTCCTAGACGGTAAGGAGCGTCCCAGTAGAGGCGATTTGCATTCAATTTAGACAGATTGCATGAAACAACAATAAACGATTCAAATTCAGTTTTTAATCAAGTGAAGGTAATCACGTTCTACATGTTCTTAAACAAAGACATTTAAATAAACAGAGACCAAGCTGTAATCATGCTGGCCCAGTCAAGTTAACTTTTCTCCATCAATAACTAAAGAGACGGTAATTTCCACAAACAGACCGTAACATTTTTCAAACCAGAAAAAACGTAATGAATGAGGTAATTATTTTTGTAATGCTTTTTAATAACCAAAACAACTTTTAATACAACTAAGCAGCCACATAATAGTCAAGTATTCTTTATTCTGGACTCTTAGTCCACTTCACAGAAACAGCAAAACATTGCTCAGGTAAGCTAAAGTGAAATGAGCACAATGTGACACACGAAAGAGACAGAAGAATGACGAGAACGAGAGACAATAACAGTAGTGTATAATAAAGTATAAATATTGTAACTCCATGTAATCTTAAAAAATACTGTAATACAATTGTTTTTGATGCAGTAAACTGCTGTGAATTTACAAGTGGAAACGCTTTGAGCATCTATAGCTATCTAGACTTTTTTGGGGCTCATAACTGACCCTGGAGCCAAAACGCCAAACTCAAACCCTACAATGAAATAAATTTGTATACCCCGCCCACCTGGCCAGGACATGCATGATGGGGGTTTGTGTGTGGAAGGACCAATGTCTGCAGAAATACTGGACAAACCCTACCTGATAGTTTCTAAATGGCTGAGTTGAAGATTACTGGATGGCACTCTGAGGATTTGAGTCCGCCATTGCCCCCAGCTACAAGCTAACTGAGCTAACCAAAGGAAACAGAGGATTGCGTGTGCTTTTAACTATATGAAGTTGAGTAACTCTAAGGTGAAGCACTCACCAGCTCACTGAGTTGCAGAGTTTCTGTGGTTTCCCTCAGAGAGCTCCACGGGCGGCAAGCACAGCCTCAGACGGCATGGATCGGATTCGGGCGCCAGGGCCGTGTGAGCCCACACTCCGCTCCTCCGCAGCGGTCAGAGATCCGCATGGGCCACCACTGTAAAGGGGCAGCGGAGGCCACGAGCCACAGAGCTCCAACCCAGGGAGATAGCACAGAGTATTGGAACCCAGCCCAGCTGAAAATATTTCAGCCTATTTTGACCAAGCAGCAGTGTGCTAAAAGCACAGTGTTTTACCCAATTCAACCAGCGAAGTAAAGTACGGAAATAGAATTTTATTTACCAATAAAAATTAAGTGGAGACTTCTTGGATGGTCTGATGGTGCAGTCAGTACCGCAGCTTGCCGTTTAGCCCAACAGTTCCATGATTAACATCCAAGGATGAACACACAGAGGACACCGCTAAAGTTCAGACAATCAAAATGGCCCAGCCGGAGTCTGAGGCCTTCACCGGAGCAAAGCGCTAGCTCTGACGGCTCATACCTGTCAATCAAATCTAACCATTCACAATTTCAAGCATTTAATTACTCCTAAACAAAAGATTTAAAAGAATCACCCCCCCTCAGAGTGTCCATGACTGTGAGCTAGATCTATTAAACCTAAAATGGTACCAGGCTGTAAACGTGTTAATTCCTGGTGTTAAGTTGGCCTTTTATAAAGGAACTCTGCAGTTTGGCTTGCTTTCAACACCTCTAAGTCTGTTTTAATGCACTGTCCTAAAACCAAGACAGAAACTTGCGTTTCTGTTTTTAACACCTTGACCTAACTGCTGTAATGTCACCTCAGCCTTCATTCTGCAGGAGCGGTTCATCCCTAAATCAAACAAATCAATTGTGTTCACAATCTAAAACATGCAGGGAACGTGCTGGAAGCAGACTCCAGCGCTGTCGGCTAGCCACTACTATTCTCTAACAGAGTTCCCGGTAAATGTGATCAAGATCCTGAGAAAAGGAATCGTGACCACATGCTGTACATCAATCAATCAATCAAAGCTTTATTTATAAAGCGCCTTCTGCGAGCGACCCTGTCGGGAAGCCCAAGGCGCAACACACATTAAAGTTGTGCTTACAAGTGTAATAGGATAATTGTTAGGTCTACATCCAATCCAGTCCTTTGTCTCTGAGCTCTCCTGATTCAGAAAACTCTGCATGTTGGCTTTTGTTTGACTTTTACTGTCATCAGACATATTTCTTTTAGCTCCATAAGATAAAGTTATTCTTTGTTTCTCCTGATGCTCCAGCATCATAAACACGTTACAATAAATGCTAACCAGGAATAGCTCGTGTGTCCTGAGGTGTAAACATGGATCGCTGTGAAGCATTACTGCTTCACAAAAGTTACGTGACTTCAGGGGAGCAGTCTGGATACTCTAAAGTTGCAAGTGTGGTATTTGGTCTACAATGGGTGTAGGGGGCTGAGTGACTTTTTATCAATCCTGTAAAAGGTCATCCTAGCACATACTGGCTCAAGTAAGCGATTTAAAAATATGAAAAATGTACATAGTTTCCCTTGCCTGGGATGCAATAAGAATTTTGTCTGTTTTGGAGGCAGCACCTAGTGGATGAAGGGGGAACTACATTTATTGTCACTTCCTGGTTGGCTTCATAAATTCAGGCGAAAGCTGCCCCTTTGGGAGGGATGAAGTTAGCTTCTCCTGGTGGTGAAGAGGATGACTCCCTGGATGAGGAAGTTCATGCTGGCAACATTAGCAACATTTTCCAGCTGAAAAGAGAGGAAATACCGCAGAAAGAGGAAGGTATATGTTATGTTTTGCAGTAGGAATGAGCAAGGCAGTATTTATCCACAGAACTATATTACACGACTTGATGTCACATCCAAAATGCATCTAACCATCTTCTTGTTCTCCTCTTACATGTGTGTAAGCACCCATGCTGCCTCCTAGTGGTTACAGACTATATCGCTATTGTCCAGTGAAGGGAAGCGGGATTTTCCGCGGATTTTAGGCTACGTTCAGACTTTAGGCCCTGATGCTCAATTTCAATTTTTGGATTAAATCAGATTATGTTTGTGTGGTTTTTGACACTATAACTGATACGCAACAGCAAACAGTCTTCGAACGGTTTACAACCTCAAAGCAGCCCGAATGCGCAGAAGAAGACAGAGTCACACACAACACGCTCTGTGGAGACGGACCCAGAACAAGTGGAGTTGTGCTGTGAAAGAGTTCACTGACAGAGATGTCCAGACAGACCTCTGAACACCTCTGTCAGCTCCTCTTCTTAAGAATGTCAACACACGAGGCTCACCTCCACTGAGTCAGTAACATATGAGGCAGATTTTATGTGACATGACCATTCAGACTGATGTCGCTTTCAAAAACATCAGACACAGATCCAGTTCAGTACCACAGATGAATGTGACCTGGATTGGATTAGAAATAATTGAATCCGTGCTGTTCAGATTGTCACAAAAAATGTTGGGGGGGGGGATGAAATCCGATTTGATGCACCTTTGACTTCAGTGTGAACGTAGCCTAAATGTGTTGCAGGGCTGCCATACCACATGCAGTGAGCACCTTCATTGCCTTCACACACTCTCACACTGCACCGCTGACGTCGTTAGGTCTGTTTTAGGGGGGCTTCAGCCCCCCTAAAATAATCACAAGCCCCCCTATCATTTTGAGTTTTTTAGGGCTGGGACTTTAACGCATTATTATGATTAATTAAAAAAAATACACGTTAAAAAATTTCACGCGTTTAATCGCAGCTTGCATTTCGAGCACAACAGAACCTTTGTCATTGCACGACTTCCTCGTAGACAGAATATCACTGACGCACACAACAATGCACAGTGCTAATGGCTGCTAACGGAATAAAAACAGAGAGAAGTTGCCTTGCTTGGACTGATGCAGGATTTAGGAAACATGTCCGCCTCTTTTCTTAACTTGAAAAAAAAAAACAACTTCCAGACAACAACGGAGTCCGTGTCGCGGACATTTTCCAGAGATCGTCTCTGCTTCGGCTGCCCGGTGGCACTGGAAACTTTACAAAAGTTGCGGTAAGCTATATTTTTAACATTTACGTAACATCTGTGCAGCGCTGAAAGCACCAGACAGAATAATTCTGTGCCCTAACAGTAGTTAGTCAGACAAACGAGAGGCACCTGGCTGCCGCTGGAGAACGCTCCGTGTTCTCACTACTCTGTAAACAATCACAAACAACGTGTGTCTAAACTCTTAATGCAAACTACCAGACTTCTGACACCATGTCGTGTAATTAAAATACTGCGCGAGTCTAACTGATAGTTCAACGTCCTTTATTTTTGCTTCCCGCCTGAACCCCCCCCCCCCCCACACACACACACACACACACACACACACACACGTCATTCCCCCTGCGACTCTGTCGTCTTTCTACAAATACCCGGTTACAATACATCTCCCTTTTTTATTTTATTTTTTTTTTAGAATCAGTGGGTAGACTACTACTGATTCAGCAGGACCTTAGAGGGTTATTCTGCCTCTGTGGCTGGAAGGTCTGCTCTATCTAACTCCGAAACCACACACACACACATACACAAACACAAAGAAACTCACTGTATTAACATAAGAATTACGCAGAATATGGAATTACTTGTTCCAGTTACAAACTTTTTTTTTAGTTCATGGGCAAAACTATAAATCCAATCTGGTTGGTCGTATCACAGCTCTCCCAGACCTGGCTCTGAGAGCAGGGGTAGATGGTGCTTTTGGAACGTTCTGCCCCAGCGGTGTTGCTGCAGAGTGCCCAGTCGATGGTTGATTGGGGATGTCTCCGCATATATCCACAGCTACTCCACTGCTGCTTTGTTCTGGTGAGGGCTGCATGGCGATAAGATGGTGACGGTTTCGTCTGATAATCCCATGAGGTCCCGCCACCAGGTATGAGCGAGGTGTAGTGTGTTTTCTAGCGACAGCTCCTGCTGCTCTTT